CAACTTTGCAGTTACTTAAAATATCCAACCCGCCTGGCCACTGTCATTGTCTGCTAAAGACACCTCTGACACTGGTGACCGCCCAGACGCCGGACTTTGCCTGGGCTGCTGCTCAGGCAGTGAGGGGGCTGTGCCCGCCTGGCGAGCCGCAGCCCAGACGCCCAGGCGGCAGCTCGACTGGCCCCGCAGAGCTGAGCTAGCCTTCGTTTGGTCAGATTCGCCGCGGCGTGGGCCGCAGGGTCAAGGCGAGCCTTGTCCCGCACACAAACACCTCCCTCTGCGGCTCTGCCCGCCTGCCGCAGCGGCGTGGGCATGGGCAGGGTGGAGGGCACTGCGCTGTTGGACTCCCTCCTGCCCCGCCCGTGGGGATTCCAGCTCAGCCCCCCACCCCCAGCCCCGTGCAGCTCCCCTCATTCGGCCCCACCCACTGCACAGGCACTGCACCATGGTGCACCTCTGGCAATGGGCTCTGTAGGCCTTTCTGAGGAACAGGAACCTGGCAGGCTCTGCTTGGACCTTTGATCAACCTCTGAGGGTGGAGAACCCGTGGACTGCAGGGCCCAGGCGAACCCTGGCCACCTTTGCAGAGGGGCAATAAGACCCAGTAAATCCCTGACTTGGGGGAAGGCTAGCTGGGGACCTTTTTGACACCAGCCAGGACTGCAGAGACCACCGTGACCAGGCCTCCACTTGTAGCTGGATCTCTCCAGTTCAGGGTAGAACGTGCCCCCTGCCTTGTTCAGGCCTACAGTCCCCTAATGTATCTCACTGCTCTATGTAATTCCCTTCCCCACATCCAAACCTACTGAGCTCCACCTGTCCAGATCCTCTTCCCTGGCAGGCCCCAGTTCTAGGCCTACCTTCTCTTTGGTGCCTTTTCTGCCTCCCTGTTTGCCACCCATGGTGACTTCTCCCTCACTGCCCCCCCCCCCAACTCCTCCAGGGCTACCTGCGTCTCCTGGGCATTTTCTGGCTTAAATTATAATAGAAGGCAGACTGTAATTAAGTTTCCCTACCTTTGCTTTGTCTCCCTGGTATTGTGGATGTCTGGGTTCTCCCAGAACCCTTCAGAGGAACAAATGAAACCTGCACCTCAGCCACAACTCTCTCAAAACTTAGCAGTGCAGGGCACTTACTGAATGCTCCCAAGGACTTGCTCTCTTTGTAGAGCAGCTGAGAAGACCTTCACCTTTCCAACTTGTGCTTGTCTTGATTGGCAAGTGACTCGAGAAAGGATACACGTGGCTCAGATATTTACTGAGTGTGCCTTATGAGCATGGAGAAGGGGTCTAGGTTCCAACTGCAAGAATAAAAATTGTGATGGATCCCCCAAGAGGAAGCTCTGCATTTGGATGGCTCAGACCCCAGATTTTGCATACCTTTGGTTGCTAACTCAGGGGCACGCTGCTGTGGAGAGCGAGGAAAGACCTGCGTATGCCAGGAGATCTTCCTGGGAAGCTGTCAGAAAGTACAAGGACTTTGTAGGCAGAGGGCTAGCAAAAATTCGGAGTGGGGAAGAGTAGCTGGCAGACAGGGTGAGTGAGCTGACTGACTGTGTTGCGGTTGAGATGGTGTGGCCCAGAAGGAGAGAAGAGGTTGGAGCCCAGTGCTGGGGATACCCAAATACCCAAATACTTCTCTTTTTGGGAGAAGGGCACATTGAAAAGTGGGGAATTGAGAGGCACTGATATTTTTGTATGTATAAAGATGCCATAATAAAAAGTGGAGTTTTGAGAAAATTTTAGAATGGGGTCTTAGGAAGGGGTTGGAAGCCTGCTGCAAGTTTGGAACTAGGGCTGAGATCAGGCTATCTCCAAAAGGCAGCTTCACCATGTCAGCTTCCCTTCAGCCTTTTGGGAGCAACTGGGGACAACCTGGATTCCCAAATACCAATGCTGCAAAGGTTGAGAAATGTTCCCTAGGGCCCTGCTGCACCCCTTCCTCTTAACTGGACAGGCCTTGGGAAAGCACCGGTTTGTACCCCTATGCCACCAGGGTTTGCTGAAGGTCACATAGCTATTTAGGGATAGGCTGTGGCCTCTTGTGCAGCAGATCTTTCCACTGTGCCCCAGGCTCCAGCAGCCTTGGCTCCAGGCAGATGTCATTAACCATCCCATCCCCTCCCCTCCCCTCACCTTCCCCATTCCTTAAGAGGCTGAGTTAACTTGGAGGCTCCATCTGGGGAACCTCTTTTCTTTTTCATGTCTCTTTGGCCTCTTGGTCTGCAGCCTGTTGAGGGTTGAAAGTTTCAGAAAGAGGGGAAGTTAGTTGGGAAAAGTTGGCAGGAATGATTCCTTCCTAGGATAGCAGAGGTGTTAAACATTCCTCAAGAACTGTTACATTTATACTCTCAGAAAGTGTGTGTGGGAGAACAGCACTGCTCAGTTGGTCCAGGAGATTAAGAGAAGGAGAGAAATAACAGCAACCCTGGCCCGAGCATGAGCATTCTTGTAGGACCAAAGAGGAACAAGGAATTTCCAGCTTCTTCACTTAACAGATAAGCCACCTGCAGCTAGAAGCAGGGATGCCCAACATTTTTCCATCAATTATCCTGCCTCGAATCCTGCCCAGACAGATAAACTAGGTGATAAAGGTTGAGCCCCCGGAGGAGGTATTTCATAGCCTTCCTGTGTCACTCATTCCTGGATCACCCATCTCACTGCCAGGAAGTTCTTTCTCAGAGCTGATCTGAGCCTCTTATGCTATAGTTAAGCCTTGCCTTGTGGTGTGTGTGTGTGTGTGTGTGTGTGGAGGGCTGGAGGGGAGAGCAGCTGGCCACCATTGCTTTTCTGCTTAACAACCCACTGGAGATTTCACAGGCATTAAACCATCTCTCCACCCCTAACTTCTGTTCTCGGAATTAAATAATCACAGAGTCTTTCATCTCCTCCGCTCTGTCTTATTTTTCAAACCCGTGCGTATGTAAGAGTATCTCCAGCAAGGCAGGCAGGGAAACCAGAACCTCTGCAGAAATGCAGGTACCAGCTAAGTGAGGGTGTGTTGCTTTCCCTCCCCTATTGAGTTTAGGGGAAAATATGGACAATGGAGAGAATGGCCCGAGGGGGCTTGGTGGGGTCAGAGGCAGGCATTCTGATGCTACAGGGGCCTTTGCAAACCTTTGATCTGCGTTTCTTGTCTTGGAGCCCTCATTGCTTTCATCTCCTATAGGTTTTTTCCCCCTGCTGGGCCTCCAAGCAGATTGCAACCCTCCTTCTCTAGCCAGCACTCCCCAGCCCTCCCTCTCTGCTCAGCTCTCCCCGCTGCAGGTTGCAGCTCTTTTCCGGGGAGAGAGGGCTAGATCAAGGCAGTTCTGGGCCCCCTCCTCTTTGGCTCTGTTGGGAATATAAAGCAGGGACTAGTGTATTTTCAATGTGTAAAATATTGGGGGGAAGGGCAGTTGAGGAGTGCAGCTGGTCCATAATGTGCTTCTTTCCTGCAGTGGTGGACTGAGTCCAATCAGGTAGGTACCTGGACTTTGCAGCATAGCCTAGGACTCCCAAAACCAATCCAGTGCCCTCCCATCCCCCAAATGTGCCATTTAGCAACTGCTAGAAAATTGAACATGCTACCTTCCCTCCCCTAGCCACTCAGGGTAATCTGAAGTCAAGCAGACTGTTTGATCCAATCTCCCATTTCTCGTTGGGGAAACTGAGGCAGAACAAAGAAGGGATTTACCCAAGGATACACCTAAGTCCAAAGCTCCAGGTCCCCAAACTAAATCTTCCTCCTCAAAGCACACTCTCCCCACTCGGCTGCCCACCTAGGGTGTGGTGAGTAGAGAGGTGGCTGCCTAAGAAAGTCTGAGGTCTCCATTGTCCACTTGGCCTAGCTGCCCTGATGCCGCCGGCCTGTCAACATCTGTGTCCCTGAGGTTAGCTCCTCTCTTGTTCTTCATCTGCACTGGGGGTGGGAGAAGGGGGCCCCCATTTCCTACCTCACCCTTGCTGGGCTCCTGCTGACATGGTGAAAGCCTACGGAGGCCACTCACCTTGGGTACATTGCTCTGTAAGGAGGCTTGGGAGCCTGGGCGGGGATTGGCTCCCAACGCCCCAGGCAGGTAGGGGGCCAGAGCTGCCTGAGGAGAAAGCTGAGGCATCAGGACAGTCCATCTGTAGGGAGAAGCAGTGTCTGGGTTTCCCCAACTAGAAATAAACTCCTGTGGATTTGGGGCTGGGCCAAGGGGCAGAGAAGTGAGGCCTGGAAACCTGCAAGACTGCATGCAGGCAGAGCGAGCCTTGAAGGTCAGGCAAAGGGGTTTGGCCCCGATCCTGTAGGCAATGCGGAATAATTTGATAAGTAGCGGAGGGATGCACTGAAATCAGGGTTGTAAGAAAATGATTCTGGCAAGGGTGTGCAAGAAGGCTGCGATGGGAGGGGAAGGCAGGGGCGGGACTTGGGCGTTGCGGTAGGGCGGGACTAGAGGGAGCTCAGCTAAGAGGCTCGTGTCATCTTCTCAGGAGCTGGAGAGCAGAAGGAGACTGCAAGCAAGGCCGTCACAAGGGCCATTTATCGACCATCTGTTTGGTGCCCAGCGATCAGTTTGCCTTGACATTGATCATCTCTAATCACATCTCACCACAGCCCTGCATGGTAGGTAGCGTTTTCTTCATTTTACGGATAAGGCATTTGGGTCTCGGAGATGGCAGGCCACTTGCGGAAAGCACACAGCCTGGAAGGGGCGAAACGAACTGGCATTCCGCTTTCAGGCTGACAGGCTCCAGCTGAATTCATGCTGTTGGAGCTCCCGCTCTGTGCTGGTTGCAGCGACTGTGAGAGGAAAGGGGGTCCATTTATGGAGACAGATGAACCGACGGAGGCCTGCTAGAGTGAGTGGCGCAGGGCTGAGTATGTGAACGAGTCCACTAAGGGACTGGTAGGGAGAGAAGGCCCAGTCTGGCATCTCTGCTGCATCTGGAGTTGGCGAGCTGCCTCCTGGAGGAGAGGCCGGCCTCAGCAAGAAGTCCTCCAATTAGGAGAGTGGTGGTCGCAGGGGCTGCTGGGGGGCTCCGTCAGCAACCTCTGCAGTTTTGCCAAAGGCTACCAGGCTGAGCAGCCTTGCCTTCAAGCGCTAAAAAAAAAAGCAGTTTTGAGAGCAGGCCTTGGCTTTAGAAATGGGTTGTTCAAGTTCCAGATAATCTCCGAATCTGTTCTCCTTAAATAGCTCACATTCTGCATCTATGTCCACACTGGCAAGTTTCTGTTTCAGCCTCTTCTGGGCCCCTCGGACTTATCTCTGGAGGAAAACAGGAGTTAGAGGGACACGTTCCACAGTTTGGGCGGAGTGCGGTGGGGTTGCTGATGAGGAGAGCAGCCACAAGCTGGGTTGGCGGCCCTAGAGTCCAAAGTCCTCAGGCTTTCTGGAATGTGCTGGGCGGGGCCAAAACAGCAGCAGCCTGTGAGGACTGGAAATGCTGCAGAGAAAGGTCAACTTGGCTGGGACAGAAGTGGGGTGGGAGGGGAGATGATGGCTCTTACAGGTGTGAGGAGAACCTTTGCAATATTCACATTCAGTCTTCTTCCTTTGGCTGGGGGCCCTGTCCAGTGCAATAGAGTGGCATGAAATTGGGACCCAAGAGGCCTGGGAGTTAGTGTGGCTCTGTCACCATCCTACTGTGTGACCTTGGACAAGTCCTTTCCCAAGTAGGCACACTTTCCTGTTCTGTGGCCAGACACGACTCATGCATGCTGGGAAGGGAAAAATGGGAGTCGGGGTGGGGAGTGTTTTATAAACTGGTGGTGCCCTAAGTGGGTGAAAGATGTCTGTTGATTTGCATTTCCTTTGATATTGGTGCTTTTAGCTGAGTTTGAGTTTTTGGCCTTTCTGGCCTGGGCTAGTGAACTGGGCTTGGTTGAAATTCTCAGATAAATGAGAGCTGATAGCCAGTAGCTCACTCTTTTGGGTCCGTGAATGTGGAAAAGTTGGCTAAATGAGTAAGTACAGCCTCCTATTGGGGACACTGAAGCCCAAGGAGGTTTGGTCACCTACTTAAAGGGCCCTGGGGGGGCACCCTATCCAATCCTGACTGAGGTAGTATTATAGCTAGAAGCTGTCCAAGCCTGGTTTGAATAAAATAGTAAGTGTTCATTGCTATAATGTTTTGAGTTTCTGCTTTGTAACACATTTTATTTGATACTTTATATACATTGGTTTTGCTGCCTACAGTAGGGATGCACTCTCAAGGCCTCATGTTACCATTGAGAAAACTGAGGTACAAGCATGTGAAATAGCTCGGTAGATTTCTCCCAGCTGGAAGAGCTGATTCCAGTAAAGAACTGGCTGGCTTGGGATAGGAGTGGCGGGGGCTAAGTCCTCATTCTCACTGCTTCTTCTCCCCAACATACAGAAGGGCAGGATGGGCCTGGAGCAGGCTTGCCTCCAGGAAGACTGCTTGAAACAGGCCTGGGGAATAGGGGCTGGCTGAGGCCGTGCCTCTGGAGCCGCTGCGTAAATCCACATACTTCTGTCTCTTCCCTAAACCCAGCCTTCTCTAAGTTGGCTGCGTCAGCCCCAGGAAGCTGAGCTAGGAGCACAGTGTGCAAGACTCAGTCTGTAATTGTTTTTTTCCTCCCAAAGAAGTGTCTCTGGGGTGGGTCTGAGGCCTGTGTTTTGAGTAGAGGGGAGAATGAAGAAGTTCCTCTCTGATAGCCAGTCCTGCACTGCTTCCAGAATGGCCTTGAGGCTGGCTCTGGGAGTGGGGGTGGCCCTACTGCTTTCTTTTTTTTAAGATTTATTTATTTATTTGAAAGGCAGGGTTAGAGAGAGGCACAGGTAGAGAGAGAGAGAAGCCTTCTATCCACTGGTTCACTTCCCAGATGGTCGCAATGGCTGGAGCTGCGCCGATCTGAAGCCAGGAGCCAGGAGCTTCCTCCAGGTCTCCCACATGGGTGCAGGGGCCCAAGGACTTGAGCCATCTTCTGCTTTCCCAGGCCATAGCAGAGAGCTGGATTGGAAGTGAAGCAGCCGGGACTCGAACCCGTGCTCATATGGGATGCTGGCACTGCAGGCGGTGGCTTTATGCACTGCGCCACAGCATTGTCGGCCCCCCTACTGCTTTCTGTCTCAGTATTCTCCCTGCTGTGAAAGCGGCAGCTGCAGCCAGAAGTCCCTACCAGGGACACCAGACTAGCTTATCCTCCAGTCCTCCTGAAACATAGAGAGACAGCCACACAGATTGAGAAACCTGAGGGCCACTTTCTTGGCGAGAACCTTGGGGGAAACCAGCACCAGTCTAAGGGAGCTAGAGTCTGTCCCTTGTGTTTTCTGTCCCACCTCACTCCCCTGGTGAACTTGTGTGGTGTTCAGTAAATGCAGTACCACCTATGAGGAAGGACAGCTTTGCGACCTGGGCAGGGATGAGGGAGGCTGTAGCAATGAGGGAAGAGGTAGGCAGAGTAGAGGAGGTCTCAGATTTAACTAGGTGGGATAGGCTGGATGGCTGCCAGCTATGAGAGACCCCTGTCTCCTTCCTTCCTAGTGTCTTTGGGGACTCAGGGTGAGGAATTACAGAAGCAGCAGGGAGACATGGCAGGGAGATGAGAGATGGCAGTTTCCAGGCTAATCCTTGCCAGCAAGGTTAGGGGGAGGGCTTGAATTGGGGCTGAGACCAAGAAAGTCTGCAACCCAGGGACACACAACCCTGCCTAGTTCAAGCACCCCCATCACATAGGCAGAAGCATTTTAAATCTCCTGGCAGAGGATTTTATATGGGTCTGTGCATATAAAACCTCCTCACACCTGGCTCCCCATCTGCCTGGCCAAAGGAGCAGGTCCTGCAGTGCCCCATGGCAAATGGCTTTACAAATGAACAGCCTTTTATGCAAGGTCTTCTGCTTCCTAAGAAATGGGGATCTGACTTGGAAGGGAGTAATAATGAGAGTCATGCCAGTCTTTCTCATTTGCACTGTACTTTGCAGTTTGCAAAGTGCTTTTTGGTGCCCATTAGCACATCTCATCCTCGCACCGCTGCAGTTGAACTGGAGAGGTGTGTGTGTGTCTGTGGAGGGGGTGTAGGTAGAGGAGCTATTTCCATCTTGGAATAGCCCACAAGTACTTGCGGCTCAGCAGGCTGGCTTGGCCTGCTCAGGGTCCCTTGGCACACTCCTGTGGCCCAGGCTCCTTCCACAACACACCGCAGCTGCCTGTGGCAGGGAAGGGGATGATATTGAAAGCGGTGGTGAAAAAAAAAAAAAAAAAGGCCGGCACCGCGGCTCACTAGGCTAATCCTCCACCTTGCGGCGCCGGCACACCGGGTTCTAGTCCCGGTCGGGGCGCCGGATTCTTTCCCGGTTGCCCCTCTTCCGTCCAGCTCTCTGCTGTGGCCTGGGAAGGCAGTGGAGGATGGCCCAAGTGCTTGGGCCCTGCACCCCATGGGAGACCAGGAGAAACACCTGGCTCCTGCCATCGGATCAGTGGGGTGCGCTGGCCGCAGCGGCCATTGGAGGGTGAACCAACGGCAAAGGAAGACCTTTCTCTCTGTCTCTCTCTCTCACTATCCACTCTGCCTGTCAAAAAAAAAAAAAGAAAAAAAAAGAAAATAAAGCGGTGGTGGACTGGCCTCTGTCCCTATAGCGCACAGGAATAAGGGCAAGTGAAAGCCCAAGAGGACTGCCCTTCAGCTCAAGGTTCTGAAAAGCAGCCCTGTTTGTGATTCACTTTGCCCAATCCCTCTGTGCCCCGGGAACTCCAGCCCCAGCCCCAGCAGGATGGGTCAAGCTTTGATTCATGAGCATGTCTGGGTCCCATGAGGCTTCCTTAAGGCCTGGTCGCACTTACTAGTTTCACCTGGGCCTTTTGCTGAATCACTGCCATTTTCACTCCCTCCCATCTGATAAGGCCTTCTCCTCAAGGCAGCTTTCCTGAGCACGAGGATGGCTTTCTGCCTGTCATATTTACCCACGGGGTATGATAACAAGTCACAAAGGAACCATGTCCCACTACCTTGCTTGAGAAAGAACAGGACCTGCTCCATGTTGTACTTTCACCCTGTTAACATAAGGGACTCGCTCCTTAGTTTAGGAACTCCCTAAAAGCCTAGGCTGGGGGTGCCCTTTCTTGGCCTGCCCTGCAGCGTGGAGTTCAGCACCCGTCACTCACTGATTGTGCAGGAGCGGTATGTATCATCAATCTCACAGAGGTGAATACTGTTTCACCCCAGCTCCCCCATCTCTAATACTGTAATGACAACCCTGTCAGTAATTTCAGGGCTGAGGTGAAAACCTCTGTGCTCTGGAAAATGGGGGAATCATGTGGATGACAGAGCCTATATTCCCATCTTACCCTGGGGCAGAGGACTCTGGGTAAGTGAGTGTGTGTGTGTGTGTGTGTGTGTGTTTGGAAATGGAAGGCACTGTGTGTTGTGGGGGCTCTCAGTTACAGGCAGGGCTGAATTGGAATCGTGTGATGTCAAAATATGCCACCCAGCCAGCCATCCCACTCCTTGGAATTTACCCAAAGGAAATTAAATTGGCAAGTAAAAAAGCTGTCTGCACCATAATGTTTATTGCAGGTCAATTCACAATAGCTAAGACCTGGAATCAACCTAAATGCCCATCAACAGTAGACTAGATAAAGAAATTATGGGATATGTACTCTATAGAATAGTATACAGCAATAAAAAAACAATGAAATCTGGTCATTCGCAACAATATGGAGGAATCTGGAAAACATCATGCTGAGTGAAATAAGCCAGTCCCAAAGGGACAAATATCATATGTTCTCCCTGATTGGTGACAACTAACCGAGCACCAAAAAGGAAACCTGTTAAAGTGAAATGGACACTATGAGAAACAGTGACTTGATCAGCCCTTGTCCTGACTGTTGATGAACAACTTAATACTTTATCCCTTTTAGTATTTTTCTTTTGTTCTACTTAATACTATTGGTTGAACTCTTTAACACACAATTAATCTTAGGTGTTTAAATTTAACTGAAAAGTGATCCCTATTAAATATAAGAGTAGGAATAAGAGAGGGAGGAGATATACAATCTGGGACATGCTCAATCTGACTTGCCCCAAATGGTAGAGTTAGAAACGTGCCAGGGGATTCCAATTCATCCCATCAAAGTGGCATATACCAATGCCATCTCACTAGTCAAAGTGATCAGTTTCAGTTTACAATTGATCATAATGATAGGACTAAGAGTCAAAGGGATCACATAAACAAGACTAGTGTCTGCAAATACTAACTGATAGAATAAAAAAGGGAGAGAACGATCCAACATGGGAAGCGGGATACACAGCAGAGTCATAGAATGGCAGATGTCTTAAACAGAACTCTGGCCTCAGAATTGGCCCTTAAGGCATTCAGATCTGGCAGAAGAGCCCATGAGAGTATTTCAGGCATGGAAAGCCAAGACACTCTGGCAAAAACAAAACGGAAAAAAAGACCTAAATGAAAGATCTCTGTGAGTGAGATCCCAGTGGAAAGAACGGGCCATCAAAGAAGGAGGTACCTTTCTCTGAAGGGAGGAGAGAACTTCCGCTTTGACTATGACCCTGTCAGAATAAGATCGGAGTCTTCCAACTCAAAAGGCTTCCATAGCCTTGGCAGCTCATGACAAGAGCCTTGAGTGATTACTGACGCCATAAACAAGAGTGTCAATTGTTAAGTCAACAACAGGAGTTACTGTGTACTTACTCCTTATGTGGGATCTGTCCTTAATGTGTTGTCCAATGTGAAGTAATGCTATAACTAGTACTCAAATAGTGCTTTATACTTTTTGTGTCTGTGTGGGTGCAAACTGATGAAATCTTTACTTAGTATATACTAAATTGATCCTCTGTATATAAAGTTAATTGAAAATGAATCTTGATGTGAATGGAATGGGAGAGGGAGCAGGAGATGGGAGGGTTGCGGGTGGCAGGGAAGTTATGGGGGGAAAAGCCACTGTAATCCAAAAACTGTACTTTGGAAATTTATATTTAATAAATAAAAGTTTAAAAAATATGGCACCCATGAAAACCTGTAACCTGAGAAAATGGCAACACGGAGCTCTCAGCAAAGAAGCCATCAGATGAGTTGGCCTTGCACTATTCTGGTTAACCAGCCGTTAGCTCTTGCCTATTTTAATATTTATCTCTTCAGAGTGCTCTTGATAGAAACTTGCATCACACTGATGATTGAAGTGTCAAGGCAAGCAAGGCAACAAGCACAAATTAATGTTTGGAAGAGAGGAGTAGGGGCTCCAGGAAGAGGTCAGGGTCGGGGAGGGGGAGATTTCTAATGCGGTCAGAAGCCTGCGTACAGCTGCCAGCCTCTCTCCACTCCGTGCTGGTCCACAGTCTTCTACTGCATGGTGAATGTCTGAGTCTTATTCCTGTTGCTACCAGTCACAGAGCTGCTTTGCTGATTAGCTGCTCCCAGACAGCAATGATATTTCTCTCTCTCTCTCTCTTTGTGTGTGTGTGTGTGTGTGTGTGTGTGTGTGTATGTCCCAGTAGCCCTCCCAGCAGCTGTTCTACCTCTGCTCCCCACCTTAAGTCCATCAGCAGGCTGCTCACTGATCCAGCTGTTGAACAGCTACAGTCAATGGAGCACACCAGATAGGGGTGGGAGGAGGTATGTTTGGGTGGGTGGTGGTTAGCCCTTCTTTGTATTCCCTCTCTTGGCATTTGGGTGTTTGGAGGATTGGGAGCCTAGACCAGAGGGGTGTGGTTTGTACCAGTTTTATTTGAATAACTGTTGAAAGCCTGTGTCATGGGCAAGAAGCGTAAACCACGTAGGGTCATGCCTTCAAGGAGTTTCCTCCCTGGAGAGGGGGCTGCTAGATAGGGGCCAACAGAACCAGGGAGGGGACTGGAGGGGAAACAGTTTGCCTCCTGCTTCTAAAGGTAAAGCTCTAAACCTCATGGGGGCTCCAAGTTTCAGAGGGCAGTGTTAAAATGTCTTTGCAGCAGGACAGTAAGTAGTGGCTTAGATCCATTCCTCACATGACCTCTAAGAGGAGGAGGGGTTGGTAGGCCTCTTGGATGGAGGATACTGAAGCCCAGAGAGTACCTTTCCCGAGGCCACCCCATAGTGTTAGCAGGTTCTGGAGTGCAACCTGTCTGCGGGTCTGTGAGCTTCCCTCTCTGGATTGAGCATGGTCCTGCACATGATTTGCCAAGCCCTGTGGGCAGGATGAGAAACTTTACATCTACTTTTCTCCCCACCCCAGGCAAAATGTCAGTGGGAGCTCAGTGTAATGTGAAACTGAGGCCTGGATCCCAGAGAACGCAGTGAGGACTTAATGGACCATGTGGTCAGATGCTTTGCAAAAATTCTGTGACAACAGAGCCAGGCTCCCTCCTGCCTTATGTGCATCTCCCTGCTCCTGCCCTTTAGATAGCCAATGACCACCACCCCCCTTCCCCTGCCCCGCAGCCAATAGCACAACCTGACCTTTTGCATGTCTGCGGTTTCCCCTGCCCAGTGCTCCCCTGAGTTTAGGGTGACCTGAAAGGAGTGGACCTAGTGAGGGGATAGCAGGTGATGGCTGCCTGTTGCTCTGTGTGGGATTTTGCCGCCTTGGGGCCCGGAGGGGGCTGGCCAAGCAAGCGAAACATATGGAGTGGATTATGATTTTCCCCACGTTTCCCTTTTCTTTCTCTCTGGCTCCACTCAACCCTGAGACCACAGACACCTGTGCAAACAAACCCAGCCTGGCTGCTTGCTCACCAGTATCTGTCTCTCTGTCTGCCTCTCTCATCTCTTGCAGACCCTACGGTGATGCCTCCTCAACCAATGATGTTGTAACAGTGCCTGGAAGGTGGCGGCTGCATTTCCAGCTTAAACCTACCTGCGTTGTCCCCATCGCCATGGAAACCCAAAAGGATGAAGCTGCTCAGGCCAGGGGAGCGACAGCTTCGGGGGACACCCAGGACCAAGGTGCAGAAAAAGGAGCCAAGAAGAAGACAGCTGAGCCGACAGAAGGGCCAACATCAGAACCGCCCTCCTCTGGCCCAGGTAGGCTGAAGAAAACTGCCATGAAACTCTTTGGTGGCAAGAAGGGGATCTGTACTCTGCCTAGTTTCTTTGGAGGGGGACGAAGCAAAGGTTCTGGGAAAGGCAGCTCCAGGAAGGGTCTCAGTAAGAGTAAGACCCATGATGGCCTGAGCGAAGCAGCCCATGGTCCCGAAGAGGTTGTCAGTGAAGGAACTGGCTTCCCGCTACCTTTGCCTGAGTCACCCTGCGGATTTCCCAGCTCCCAGAGTGCCCATGGGGCTTTGGAGACAGGCTCCAGGAGAAAGACATCAGCGTCTGGAGCCCCAGAGAAAGCTGGGGATGAGAAGGTTCCCTCTATGCCCAAGCCAAAGAAAGGCCTAAAAGGCTTTTTCAGCAGTATTCGTCGGCACAGGAAGAGCAAGGTCACTGGGGCTGAGCAAAATGAGCCAGGGGCAAAGGAGCCTGAGGGCACCAAAGCCAGGCCTCATGAGCTCGTTAGCTCGTCGCCTCTGCTCCCCTCTGAGGAGTCCTTCCAAGCCCTGAGAAAGGAAAATTCCAAGCCCCAGGAAGCCCCTGGACCAAAAGTTTCTCCGGTACCAGAGCCTTCTTCACCACCCACTGAGAAGATGACCTGTAAAGATACAGAAAAGCTCCCAGGGGCCTCTGCCCCAGTACTAGTGCAGCCCAACTCTGTCCCTGAAGCCAGTAGCCTAGAGGAGCCCCACAGCCCAGAAACAGGTGAGAAAGTGGTGGCAGGAGACATAAACCCACCTGGCGGTCCTGTGGGAGACCAGCTGAGCCTCCTGTTTGGGGATGTCACATCCCTGAAAAGCTTTGACTCCCTGACAGGTTGTGGTGACATTATAGCTGAACAGGACATGGACAGTATGACAGACAGCATGGCCTCTGGGGGCCAGAGGGCCAACCGAGATGGGACCAAAAGAAGTTCTTGCCTGGTGACCTACCAAGGAGGTGGGGAAGAGATGGCCCTGCCGGATGATGATGATGATGACGAAGAGGAGGAGGAGGAGGAGTTAGAGGAGGAAGAAGAGGAAGTCAAAGAGGAGGAGGAAGACAATGACTTAGAATATCTGTGGGCCAGTGCTCAGATGTACCCAAGACCCAATATGAACCTGGGCTACCCTCCCACCACATCCCCGGGCCACCATGCCTACATGCTCCTTGACCCTGTTCGGTCTTACCCTGGCCTGGCCCCTGGGGAACTTCTGACTCCTCAGAGTGACCAGCAAGAATCGGCCCCTAATAGTGATGAAGGCTATTATGATTCTACCACACCCGGCTTTGAGGATGATTCAGGTGAGGCCCTGGGGCTCGTGCGTAGGGATTGCTTACCCCGTGACAGTTACAGTGGTGATGCCCTCTATGAGTTCTATGAGCCAGATGACAGTCTCGAGAACTCCCCGCCTGAGGACGACTGCCTTTACGACCTCCATGGCCGCAGCTCTGAGATGTTTGACCCCTTCTTGAACTTTGAGCCCTTTTCTTCCTCACGGCCACCGGGGGCTATGGAGACAGAGGAGGAGCGGCTGGTGACCATCCAGAAACAGTTGTTGTATTGGGAACTCCGGCGGGAGCAGCTCGAGGCCCGGGAGGCACGCACCCGAGAGGCTCATGCCAGGGAAGCCTGTGCCCGAGAGACCCACTCCCGGGACGCTCATGCCAGGGAGCCCCGTGCCCGAGAGGCCCCAGCCAGGGAGACTCGTGCTCGAGAAGCCCCGGCCCGGCAAGAGAAGCCCGTCTTGGAGTATCAGATGAGGCCCCTAGGCCCCTCGGTGATGGGCCTGGTGGCAGGAGCATCAGGGGCCTCTCAGACGTCCTACCGGGGAACCACCTCAGCTTTCCCCACCACTGCGAGCAGCGAGCCAGACTGGAGGGACTTCCGTCCACTGGAGAAGCGATTCGAGGGAACCTGCTCCAAGAAAGATCAAAGCACCTGCCTGATGCAGCTCTTCCAGAGTGATGCGATGTTTGAGCCAGACATGCAGGAAGCAAATTTTGGAGGCTCACCCAGGAGGGCCTACCCTACTTACTCGCCCCCTGAGGAGCCAGAGGAAGAGGAGGTGGAGAAGGAAGGGAATGCCACCGTGAGCTTCTCCCAGGCCCTGGTGGAGTTCACCAGCAATGGAAACCTCTTCTCCAGCATGTCCTGCAGCTCTGACTCTGACTCGTCCTTCACTCAAAACCTCCCCGAGCTGCCGCCCATGGTGACCTTTGACATCGCTGATGTGGAACGAGATGGAGAAGGCAAGTGCGAAGAGAATCCTGAGTTCCACAATGACGAAGACCTCGCAGCCTCCTTGGAAGCTTTCGAACTGGGCTATTACCACAAACATGCCTTCAACAACTACCGTAGCCGATTCTACCAAGGTCTGCCCTGGGGTGTGAGCAGCCTCCCTCGATACTTGGGACTACCTGGCATGCACCCTCGACCTCCACCTGCTGCCATGGCCCTCAACAGGAGGAGCCGCTCCCTCGACACAGCGGAGACCTTAGAGTTGGAGTTGTCTAATTCTCACCTGGCCCAGGGCTACTTGGAGTCTGATGAGCTCCAGGCTCAGCAGGAAGATTCAGATGAAGAAGATGAAGAGGAGGAAGAGGGAGAATGGGGCCGAGACAGCCCCCTGTCCCTCTATACTGAACCCCCAGGGGCCTATGACTGGCCTGCCTGGGCTCCCTGTCCCCTACCCATTGGGCCAGGCCCTGCCTGGATGAGCCCTGGCCAGTTGGATGGGGTTTCTAGCCAGTCTCCATATGGGCAGGCAACCTGTTGTGTACCTCCTATGGCCAAGCCAGTGGCGCTTTCAGGGCCAGGGCCAGAGCCAAGGGCACCTGAGGAATCTGGGCCTCAGTTAGCTCGACCCTCACACCTACCCCTCCCCATGGGCCCTTGCTATAACCTTCAGCCACAGGCCTCCCAGAGTATGAGGGCCAGGCCTCGAGATGTGCTGCTGCCTGTCAATGAGCCCAGTTGCTCCTCTGGCTCTGGAAGCTTCAATCCCAGCCCTCTGCCCCAGGCCAAGCCTGTAGGCATCACCCATGGCATCCCTCAGCTGCCCAGGGTCCGGCCTGAGCTCCTCCAGCCTCGGCCCAGTCACTATGGGGCTTCCGGCCTTGACCTGTCAAAGGAGAAGGCCGAGCAAGGTGCCTCTCTCCCCACCAGCTACTCCTCCACTGCCGTGAATGGAAACCTAGCCAAGTAGTCATCCTCAGTTCCGGAGTGGGGGCATGGGGCCTGAGCATGTGAATGGGGATCAGGGATAGGGCAGAGGGGTGGGGGGGTGGGGGTTGCTGTTTAACTTGAAAATCCTATTGGCCAAGGAAAACTCCTATGAGTTTTCACCTTTGTTTTCCCACTTCCCTCTCCTGCTATCTATGGCCACATTCAGCTCAAGTACATCTGCCCAAGGAGGCTGCTGCTGCTGTGCCCCAGTTTTTGCTTTTGGGGTTTCTTCTTGTGACCCATGCAGGGTTTAGGATGCTGTAATTTTGTGCCTATTCCAGTTGCTGCGTTAGTGATTATACATGTATATATATGTATATGTGTGTATATATATATACATATACATATATAGCATGCATCCTTGACACAGGCTGTACCCTTAGTGCTCCTCCTCCTCCCCCTAGTGAATGATTAACCACTGATGAGCAGCCAGGTCTGCACTGCCTCCCCCTGCAGGGTGGGAGGCTTAGTTGCTCTTAGCAATGTGAAATGAATGGTACAAATCCAACCCACTCCCGTTCCTTTTAGCCTTGGTGTAGCTGCCACCATTACATCAGATGACTATAAGCTATTTGTCCCAGCTAGCTGTCCTTAGAGAGGATCAAGTAGCAAGTGTCTCACTGCTTATTGCTGTGGACTTTGGTATCATAGCCAGATGGGTCCTTTTAACCTGGCCTGTCATAGCTTGGGTTGAAGACAAAAACCCTAATCCCCTTAATGGAGTGATTTAACTTCGTCCTGTTGCAAACAGAAGACAAACCAAACTTCTGTTGTGGACCTACCATTGAGTCTTGAGCTCTGGAAGGCTAGAATTTTTTTCCTTCTTCCTGTCTTAAGCCTGTAACTGTCTCAGTTGCAGACATGTTTGAATTTTTATTCTTTTTTCCTCTAAAGGAAGTTCTCATAATCTCATCACAAAGAACGCAGTCTTAATTGAGATAAGGGAAGAGAAGCAACCTCAATTAGGCCTGACTGTAGGAGTTGGGGGTTTTGTGGGGTGCAGGGGAAGAATAGAAAAAGGAGGCCTGTTTTTCCCAGCCAGCAAGAGAGGGGATTTCAGCCTTTGTGGAAGTCAAGGTAACCCAGCTTCTTGGGAGGGAAAAGTGCCCCCCAGCTCTGCCCCCCCAACACAGAAAGTTCCTTAAGCCTTGTCCAGCCCTTCATTTGGACCCTGTAAAGAGGCTCCAGCCTTGCACTCCTGAGACAGGATACCAAAGGCATCTCCGCTGCTTTTCTGGGCTCTCCAAAGAGCTTTCATCTTCCGATTAGCCAAGTCCTTAGCATTATCAAAGGACCAAGCTTCTTGAGAGGAAAGACTGTGACCTGCCCTCACTCTACCAAGCTGCAGAACTGTGATTTGCATGGAATGGATAGCACCTTCCCTTCTGCACCCATGCAATTTTCACGTTGGACATACTGGAGGGCGAGAGCTTGCTGTCGAGAAACATTGCAACAGGCTGATCTTGCCAGGCTTGACCTCTCGTTAATCACCCATATGAGAGGGTTCTTTTTAAATTTCTCCCTTGGAAATGGCACATAGAACATTTTTTTGCCTGGATGTGTTGACACAAATTATGATTCTTGTCCCCTGCCCTGCTCCAGCGCCCCCACCTGTCTTCCTGCCTGTTACAAGAAGTCAACAGGGCTCTTACTATTCCTGAGCTGTGGCAATTTAGCTTGGGAACAGATGCTGTTAGCCCCCTGGGTCAAGATGATGTTGTGGGAAAACTTCCATGCCGGTCGTTGACACCATTTATGTTTGGGGTTGACCCTACACTCCTCCCCACGAAGAGCAGACCTGGCAAGTAGAAAACTGTGCCCCCGAAGGCACCACATGAGCTTGCCTGGTACCAATGCCACCCCTCAAGGGACCCAGCGCAGTCCTCCAGGCTGACTTTGGCTTCATCATGAAGAAATGCATCTGTTGTGGAGCTGAAGAATGAAATGGGGTGAGGAAGACCCTCCTCGCTCCAAGCACAGAATTCTGGGAGAGAAGTGCCCAAATTCCAACCATCTGGCCTCTTACCAAAGCTGTTTTGGGAAAGTGGGGCTGAAATTGGCCTGGCTGTTTGGCAGGAAGTAAACACTCACCAAATGCCTTTACCACAGAGGAAAACCCACCTCTGGCCTCTTCCTTCAGGGCAGCTCAAGCTCCTGCCTGCATGTAAACTGTACCAGCTGCAGCAGGCAGTAGAGCCATCACCAGCCTCCAGAGCCCATTGGAGAACGGCAACCAGCCTATCTGGGAAGAGGAAAAGGAGGCGGTCAGTCTATGGCCAAGGGCTGAGAGCTTTCTGCTGTCATAGCCCTGACATACTTTGCTGGGCTGTGGAAGATCACATACCACAGAGTAAGGCTCAGGGCTGAGTGGGAGTTCATGGTTTGGACAGCGTTGCTGCCTGTAAGTCCCTTCACTGCCCTGGCCAGCCCAAGGACAGGCTCTTTACCACCAGAAGTGAGGCAGTCAGGGTCCACTGCAAAAGCAGGCTGCTTTGAGTCTGTAGAGCCGAGTGGTTCATGATTGAACCCCAGCTGCAACCTAGAGAAGGAAGGAAGACCTGGCTGGAGACATGTGATGATGGCAGCACAGGGTGACACTGGGGGAGCCAGCCAGGCTCCAGATCGACCCATACATAGGCCCGTGCTCTCGTGGCTGGCACTGAATGTGCCCCCAGATGACCAAAGGTGTTGATGTCATGTCCACACCTCCTGGGCTGTGACCAGATGAACACTATGTCTCCATGGCAAGGTCCTGGGATAATGCTTTTGGATGTGACTTCCAGGGAAGATATGACTTCAGAGGAGGTAGTTGCCCTCATCTTACTACCCAGTAGGCCTCTCTAGTGCCAGACATCTCTGATCCCGAGAATTCCCAGATGAGACCAGTCCTTGGGGGACCAGTGAACGTGGATAGAGAAGGCCACCTAGCAGGCCTCTCCCAGGGCCAGGATGCCAGTTTCTTGGTGCTTTAGAGTCTCCAAGGAAGCCCTGCCTTGGGGCCCAGTTAGAGCCAGTCCTGCCCATCTGGCCTCAGCTTGGCGACCAGGCTGCAAGCCTCCTAGGATAAAGGCTTCAACAAACACTAGTCTCCCTCCCTCCTCAGTGCCGTACCAAGGAGGGAAGTAGCTTCCCATACCCAGGAGGCTGGGTACATACCCCTCATCCTGCTGCCAGTGGCTTTCCCACCTGTGTCAGTGCCACCACCCCATCTGCCCTCGGCTCCCAGGCCCAGTTGCTAGAGGGAGGTATGGGGGGGTTAGCAGGGAGACTTCAAGTTTACCCATGTGTATGTTGCATCCAAGTTGTTTTTAATATATATATATCAAAAGTCAATTATCTATTTTTGTATTGTTTGCATTTTATATTCATGGAAAACAATGTTTATCAATTGTTCTTTTCTGATATATTTTATTTTTAAGCGGTGCTGTTTACAGTTTTAAACAAAACAAAGATGACACAAAATACGCTGCTGCTTGTGCAGAGGGCTGGCATCTCAACTGCCTAGGGCCCTCCCTCTTTCCCTCTCCCTGCCCGTGCTGTCTCTCTGTCCATTCCTTCCCCCAGACCCCTGTCATAGGGACAGCAGAAGATGCCCAGGTACCGAAGACCAACGCCAGGTGACGCAGGCGTGTGGAACCTGGTAGACAGCGTGTCATTTTATGGCTTTATTTGATGTTTTTCTTTCGGACCCCACCTTCCCCGTGTGTAGACCTTCTGAGAACACTCATGTCTCTTTTGTTTTATTTTCCCCCTTCTGTACGTTTTATGCTTTCATTTTGAAAGCAGAGTGCCCATGTTGTGCTATTAGTCGTGTTGAGTTTCTCCAAAGAAGCATTCTGGGGATGTTCTCCACCCAGTGGGGAGGGCAGGGGGTTTCAACCATGTCCCCTTTCTCCGAGAAGCTGGGGGAGACCGATAGCAATGATGCTTGAAACATCAGGAATTGACCATCTTGTTGAGGAAACCCTTGCATGGGACTTTCTAGGAGCTCAGTTGATTGTGACATTTTCCCAGAAGAGACTTTGGGGAATTCCTTGACCCCTCTTGCTGCTTTGGGGGAATCTCTCCCCCTACCACCATTCCCCCTCCCCCGCCCCACTCCAGCTCACACGTGGATGATCCTTTGGGAAACGATGACTGTCAGGGTGATGACTCTCTGGCCTGATCCCCCACATTTCCATCCTATGGTCAGTCACTCCAGAGAAGAAAATCCACACGGCATGTATATGTGTGAGAGTTGGGTCCATTGAGAGGCGGGGCTTTAATTCTTGTTACTATTGGTGCTTATTTTCCTTGCTGTATATGGGATGGGGGTGGGGGGGAAAGAAAACAGGAATGTATATTTAGGTCATGTTAAATGAAATGGCTGGGGGAAAGAGGGAAGAAATGAGGAACCGCAGTAGATTGTCACTGCAGGTGTAGGAGTTCTTTTCTCCCAGTGCAGAAACAGGAGCATGGCTCCCGGCTGTGCCTGAGCTTCCCTTTCCCGGTTTGATCTGTGAGGCACCACAGAATCACCTGCGCTGTGACCTCTCCACTCCTAGCTCTCACTGACATCTGGATATCTTGATGCACTGCCTGTTTGTTACAACATATATTTCTTTTGCTGAATGCTAATAAACTTCTGGGTTCAAGAGGGACCCCCCAGTCACTAAAGTGCATTCTTGTGGTTTGTTCCACTGCAGCGTTCCTGTGATCCATGGTTGTTGGGTTTGCCCTTGAAGGGAAATTGAGAAACCAAGGAGTGGGGGGAGGGGAGAGAGCAGGGCACTCAGCAGGGGAAACAGAAGCCAGGGCTGACACTGAAAGTAGAGGAAACTGAAGTTCTTCACCCAAAGCTGTACCTTGCACCTTGTATCTCAGTCTGATGCTGTGTCAGTAAACTCCATCATACCTTCCATACCCTGAGACCTGCCCCTTAAGTCACTGTACGCTGCCAAGGGCTGGTTAGCACTTCTGAAATTGGCCTCAGTTCATGCAAGTGTGCTGGCCTTCCCACCAGCTAAGGGGCAGAGGGATGCATGTTTGCTGATGCCTCAATCAAGAGGATGTGGGGCTACCAGGCCCAGGTGAAGGAAGGGGATCCTTCACCCGGGCTTGTGGGCAGAGGTGCTGGCCAGGTAGTTCCTGCTCCACATGTTTGGCTATGGGGTTGAGTCGGGAGTGTGGCTTCTGCCCGTTATTGCAGGGCATCTTACAGATCTGGCACCAGAGGTGTACCGTAACAGCATCTCAGTTACCTTGGGGTCATGTGCTGATGTCAGGGCCTGTCCTAGCCTAATCAGAAATTGCTTGCCCATTTCTGTCATCCATGGAGGTGCCTACCTGTGCCACCAACCAGAAGAAGGTGATTGGGCTCATGGATTTGGTTTCTCTGCTCCAAACTCTTACCTTGGCCCCTGGCAAGCAAGTGAATCAGACACCTGCTGTGGGGCTTCCCTAAATGCTTCCCCACCCCCTCCCCCAGCTGTAATTTCCAAGTGAGCTAGAGGCCTGGAAGAGCAGCTACTTGAAAGTGCTGTGGACAGTGCTGTCACTGACAGAACTGGAGAGATCCCTGGGGCCTTTCCCAGACCAGCAAAGAAGCTTGTGGGCTTCAGGACCTGATGAAGCAAGTAAATCCAATTAAAAGCAAATTAGCAAGAGAGATCCTCTTGGGAGGGGGTGGGGGTTTGACGTTTCATACAAGTTGAATTCTGTGTCCTAGGCTGCCCAGGAAAGGAAAGATGCAGATGTGGTTGCTAAGGAAACTTTTGGAGCAAGGCCCTCTGGGAAGATTCATCAAGTCTTATTGCATCCACTGGAAATACCACGGGGTGATAGTGTCATGATGGCCTGGGTTTCTGCCCTAAATTTTGCTTCTCATTTATCAACTGGGCTTTGGGCAAATATATTTAATTAGGCTGTTTCCTATATGCAAGTTAGAAAACTGGGCTCCCTCAGAGGGATCCAGGGAGCTTTTCAACCCCCTAACTCTGGCCCTCCCCACCCTGATCCTGACTCAGTTGGCCTGGGATGAAGTTTCTATCAGTATTTTTTGTAAAGCCCACATGGCTGGTATATTGGACCTAGACAATGCAGGTAATAATAGCTCTTGCTGTTTGGCTCTGACAGATGGTTGCCTTTGCTCTTGCCCCCAGGGGAGCCCTTTGCAGTGCTGGAGGGGTATATTGCTGGAAGAAACCTCTTACAACTTTCTTTTTTAAAAAGATTTATTTATTTATTTGAAAATCAGAGTTACACAGAGAGAGAAGGAGAGGTAGAGAGAGAGGTCTTCCATCTGCTGGTTCACTCCCCAGATGGCCACAACAGTTGGAGCTGTGCCAATCCAAAGCCAGGAGCCTCTTCCGGGTCTCCCACATGGGTGCAGGGCCCCAAGGACTTGGGCCATCCTCCACTGCTGAGAATGCAGAGAAGAGCAGCTGGGACTCAAACCAATGCCCGCATGGGATGCCAGTGCTGCAGGCGGTGGCTTTACCCACTATGCCCCAGCGCTGGCCCCGCCACTTTCTTTTTATCATTAAGAAATACACTTCCCAGGTGGAACTGTGGCATAGCAAGTATACCTGCTGCCTGCATTGCTGGCATCCCATATGGGCACTGGTTCAAGTCCCAGCTGCTCCACTTCTGACCCAGCTCTCTGCTATGGCCTGGGAAAGCAGTAGAAGATGGCTCAAGTCCTTGGGCCCCTGCACCCATGTGGGAGACCTGGAGGAAGCTCCTGGCTCCTGGCTTTGGATCGGCACAGCTCCTGCCATTGAAGCCAATTGGAGAGTGAACCAGCAGGTCAAGACTTTCTCTCTCTCTCTCTCTCTGCCTCTCCTTCTCTCTCTGTTAATTCTGACTTTCAAATAAATAAATAAATAAATCTTAAAAAAAAGTAATACACTTTCGGGGGCCAGCTAACACTGTGGCTGCCTGTGATGCCAGCATCCCATATCGGAATACCCTTTTGAGTTCAGTTACTCTGTTTCTGATCCAGCTCCCTGCTAATGTGCCTGGGATGCTGACAGAAGATGACCCAAGTGCGTGGGCCCTGCCACCAACATGGGAGACCTGGATGGAGTTCCAGGCTCCTGGCTTCGGCCTCGCCCAGTCCCAACCATTGCAGTCATCTGGGGAGTGGTCTCTCTTGTCTCTCTTTCACTTTGCTTTTCAAATAATTGAGTCTTACACAAAACGTACTTTGATCCACTCCAGCCCTGTTCTCTGGTCCCATTGAAGGCTGGATTTGCATCTAGGGAGTGGACATTTTAGAACACATGCAAAACCAACAGATAAAGGATTTTTGTGCCAAACCCTTTGGAGACACTGTGGGCAATCTGCTAATTCCCTAATGCCGTACACCCAAAGAGGCTGACTGGGCTCTGGCCCTTATTGACTGTGTTTTTCTCTCTCTGGATAATTTCTGGGCTTTTAGCTGGGCTGCACGGTTTCTGGGAGCAGACTTAGCCATTAAGAGCAAGCAATCTGAAACTCCTCCCATCTCTGCTATCTTCTCTAAGGCCCTACGAAACAGGTAGACAGAGCAGGTGATTTCATTTGCACTTTACAGATGAGGAAAAGGAGGCATGGAGAAGGGAGGTGGTTCGCATACGGTGATAAAGAACAGACTGCAAGTCAGAGTGGGAGGAGGGTGGGATGCGGGATGGGCTAGAATGTAAGAGAACGTTTATTTCTAATCATTCTCCAAGCACAGAATGAATAATGCCATAGATATGTGCTAAGTACTTGACAGTGTTATGTTGTATAACCCCCCCTTAACCCTATGAGATTGACATTGATGTTATCATTCTTTTCAGATAATAAAATAGCCTCTGAAAGGCTCAGACCCTTGCCAAAATTCACAACAGCCACATCACTAGGCTCTAAATCTTGTGCTTTTCCTACCACACTTGCAGTGAAGCTGCTGATCAGCTAATCATCGGGGGTGAATTCCAGCAGCTGGCCTCGAGTCAGAGCATTCGAAAGTTAAAATGATCCCCTGGCTGCCTCCCTATCCCACTGGGCCCAGCCCAGCCTCTCAGCTCCTAGCCTGGGTTAGCATAGCAGGGGCTGAGGCCCTTATGAGCCCCATGTGAGGCACCCTTCCCCCACTCGCACTCTTCGCCTTGGGTCTCTGGGAATTGTTCCCAGTCAGGTGGGCTGAACCCTCCTCCCACTTAAACCTGCTAATAAGTGGCCTGGGAAAGATGATGAATAGCAGAGTGAGTCAATAGACAGGAGCACTTAGATGCCTGGAGGAACAGGCCTCCCGCCACTCAGACCTGCACCATCAATTGGAGCATCCCCTCATGAAGAATTACTTAATTGTAAATCACTTAACAGCCACAGTGGGAAAGAGTCTCTTTCTCTGGGAGAATAATTGCTGTCTGATGGGCTCTTGAAGGCTGCTCTCCTCTTCTCCCTTCTCTCCTGCTTTCCCAATTCCTCCCCCCAGATGCCAGAGCACATTTTCTTTGTGGTCCTCCCAGCCCAAGGAGTGCCTCATGTGGCTTCCCAAGGGCTCCTGTGTAGCACCCATTGCTATCAGGAATGGCTGCAAGGCCTGGCCACACATGCTGCGATTCAAATCAAGTGAATGTCCTCCAACAGGCCAAAAGACAGAATGGGCTTCTAGCTCGGGTCACAAACTCAGATGTGGCTGGGTGAGAAATAATTGTTTGATTGCCTTAAAGTAACTGAATTCTGACTCCGAGCACCCCAGCCTAACAGAAGGAAATTCCATGTCAGTCAGGACTGCCCCTCCCCCCACTCAAGGGTGGCACTGGAATCCAGGAGGCATTTCTGGTGCCCTCAGATTAGAGCAAGGGCAACTAATCTCCAGTTGATTCCAGTCACCACCGCTTACTGTCATTTCCCACGCTGCCGGCCATGGGGGAGGGAAAGCCAGAGGCCCTGGGGGTTTAGATTTGGCCTCCCTCTGAGCCTGTTAGGGTCAATCTCTTCTCCCTTCCTGTGGCACTGATAAGATTTTCCACAGCCCTACTCAGGACCTCTCCTTCCCAGCTGGGGCCCAGAGTAGTAGAACTCTCAGAGCTCTCCAAAGTCTCTTGCCTCTCCCCTCTGCCTTTAGGACAAAACATTCTTAGTAAGGTTTTTGTATTTTTATAAAAGAGTAATAGAGTCAGTGGTATCAGCCAACTTCTTATTTCTATAAAAATCCCTCTTCCTGTGGGGCAGGCAAATGGGGAGCAAGGATGTAGAGAGACGGTAAACACAAACACACACACACACATAGTTCCAAAATTTACCTTGCCACAAAAAGGCTGCCTCATTCAGAAAAACCTGATTTCCCTCTGAGATTTTAGTCCCGGTTCTGCCTGCCACTCATGGTGACTTTGGCAGTTTCTCCGGGCCTCAGTTTCCTCATCAATAAGGGGTTGGAGAGCATAGCATCTCCAGCCCAGTTCTTTCTTTACCCTGCCCCTTTTGATGCTTTACCCCCCTCCCCCAAAAACACACACTCCTTCTGTGCATGCCTATTTATCTCCATGTGCATAGATTCCTAGGGAAATTTTAACGCCTAAGATGTCCCCCTTATATTGAGATGGTGCAATCCTTGGCAGTCACACAGGTCCTATCTTCTATCTATTCCCTTTGCCCTGTAATAGCCCTTCCAGATCTGAAGGCAGAAACAATATTCTTTGGGTCAA